GACACTCCAGTACATGAACACTGCACTGAGAGAGAGAGGGGTTCATACAGACACACTGACTGGACACTCCAGTACATGAACACTGCACTGAGAGAGAGAGAGGGGGGTTGTCCTGACCTGGAAGTAGACCATGTCCCAGAAGCCCTCCAGGTCGGTGCAGGTGGTCTCCTTCTCCCCGCGGCCGAACTCGCAGTCGTCCACCAGCCCCCCGAACTGCTGGAAGCGCTCGGCCATCAGCAGGTGGGCCTGGCCCACGGTGGTCCGGATCAGGTCCTGCACTGGAGGGGGGGGGGAGGAGAGAGACGATCAGCACTACGGGCAGGCGGGACGCTGTGGGAAACCCAGGAACAGGGATACTCTACACAGCTCATACATACTTTTCTCTACACCCTCCCCCTCCCGTCTTTGAGCTAGCCTTCCCAAGAAACTCCAGGACTCAGAAAGCACTTAAAACATTCCTTCCTTGTCAGGGAGTTTAGCACAGAAGATGGGAGTTCGGTCCAGGGAGGGAGACGCATCTGAGCTCAAGCAAGCGTGAAGGTTCGAGTCTAGCACGTGAATTCAGCAGCTCCTACCACTATATGGGTACAGAGTAACGCACAGGTCCTGCCAGCAGGGTCCGTCAAGTGCGTTGGCGCGCAGCTGGCGACAGGCCGCACGCGTGTGCGGGTCACGGATGGGCCCTGTATGACGGCTGCTATCGACCGCCCCCCCCCCGGCCGAGACTCACCCTCCTCCGGGACCGCGGGGTCCTCCGTCCGCCCGCCCCACCGCTCACAGAGCTCCGCCAGCCGGTCCGCCTCGCTCCGCATCGCCGCCCTGGGGGACAGACAGGCACGCGCCGTCAGGGTGTCACGGACCACCTCCGCCCCCCCACCAGCACATAACGGGGTCGTCTGGCTTTTGACAACACACAAAACTTACTGTCCGGGGGGGGGGAGGGAGAGTGCACCTCCCACACCCGCTACACTGAGGGATGTTTGTTCTATGATACGTGTTAAATCACCACGAGATGTTTCTGCAGCAGTGACTCTCGATCACCCTGCGAGGAGCTCGCTGATCCAAGGATCTGATCCAGCCGGTCAGCAAAGGACCGCAGGGAATCTGCTCCACAGACACTTACAAGACGCATCTTTCTCAGGGACTGGTTTCCCGGGGGGGGGGGACCGGGACCAGACCCGCTCGGTCTCCAGCTCGCACCTGAAGTAGGGGACATCGTGCTGGGGCGCAGGCTGGACGGGGTGGTCCAGGGGCTCCGGGGTGGTCAGCTCCTCGCCGGCGGGGGCCGGGCTGGGGACGGCGGGACGGGGGGAGGCGGGGGCCGCCGGCGACACCGGGGTCAGACCATTGCTGCGGGGAGACAGAACCGGGAGGAGAAAACGCACGTCAGGGCGTTCAAATGAGACGCCAGCTTCCTGCACGGGACAGGAAGCGGACTGTCATCCTCAGAGATAATAATAATATTATTATTATTATTATTATTATTATTATTAATTCCTTTCTAGAGGACGTGCTGAAAAAGAGAGAGGAGGAGACGGGGATGAACGCCCCAGCGGTCAGTTTGACTGAAGCTCGTACAAGTCTGGGGGGAAATCAAGACCCCCTAAAGACCCCTATCAGACAGGCTTCACAACAGTGCTTCTCCTGGGGTGCTGCAGACAACTGGGTGACAATGGGGTGGCGCCCCATCTTCTCCCCGCCTGCAGTGGTTTTGGGGAACGCGGTGCTCTTTAACGGCTGAGGCTCTCAAGGAGGCAGAGCGAGACAAGACGACGGGACACCCCCCCCACCTTCCCTGTCAGACGTGCAGCTGCACAGCGACAAGGAGAGAAAGAGAGGACGAGGGCGCGCCTCAGACCTTGCGGGGTGTATCCGGGGGCTCCAGTGGTAGGTGGGCGTGAGGAAGGCGTCGGCGCTGCGGGGCGTCATGGGGTTCAGCGAGAAGGCGCCCAGGCCCTGGGGGGGCTGGAACACGAAGTCCTGGGGGGCGAAGGAAGGCGGGGGCGTCTTCACACTCTCCGCCTGGCCGGCGGCTGCGTCCGTGGCCGAGGAGGGCGGGGTCCCCTCCGGCGCCCCACTGTCCGTCTCCCCCTCCGCTGATCCCAGGCTGGGGGGGTCCTGGCTTATTTCCTGCTGTTTCCTCCCAGGCAGCTCGCCGGGCTTCTGCGGACAACGAGAGCGAGCGGGGCAGCTGACCGACTCCGGCCCGGGGTCACGAGGCAACCTGACACAGCGACCCCTGCTGGCAGCCCAGAGGAACAGCCACTGGGGCCACTGCAGGAATGAGCACCCTTAAACCCCCATTGGCGGCATTAACACAGGGGGAACAGGACTACAAGACCCTCTGCGGCACGCCTGCGATCCGGGGCACTGTGGGAAACGCACCCTGAGCGCATCTCCTGCAGTGTTCTCCGGGAGGTGGCCATTTTCGTTACAATTCAGCTCATCGCAAACCTTCACTGACCTGCGCTGCGACTCGAGACTCGAACGCCCCCCCCACCCCGACACAACCCCAGCCCCGGGATAGAGCCCAAGGAAGACGCCGGCGTCTCCGTCTCATCCTCGCCAAACCGGGAACAGGAGCGAGGCGGCGGAGAGCGGGGACGGGCCCCTCACACTTACCTTCTCCTCCTCGGCCTCCTTCGGCCGCTCCTTCCCTGGGAGGAAAGAAAAAGAAAAGAAAAAAATAAAAATATAGAAACGAAGGGAAAAACGCGAGGTGAAGCGCACAGGAATGGCGCAAAACACTTCAGAGAGAGAGCTCTGACGCGGACAGAGAGAAGGGTGTGTGTGTGCGCGTGTGTGTGAGGATAGTTACCAGGGGCACCCCTGGCCCTGCCTGCGGGGGGCGCTGTCTGGGTCCTGCTGGTAGCTCTGGTTTGCGGTGCTCGGCTGGAGCTGCCTGCGGGCTCTGCGGGTCAACACCAGAGAGAGAGAGAGAGACAGACTTGGTGAGCGCAGCCTAGTGGTGGAAACATGGGACCAAGCAAGCTTGGGGATACAGAGCTTGACAAGCCGGAATCAAGGGAATGAAAGCCGAGACCAGGAGGAAAGCCTGTGCACAAAGGGTTGGAGGAGTGGGGAAACAAGTTGCCATGTTGCTGAAGGCAAAACCCAGGTCTCCTTTCAGAAACAGCTGGGCAAGATCCTGCGATCCATAAACTGAGGGGAAGAGCAATTAAAGCAAGAGAAGAGGAAGGGGCCTGACACAAGCCACCCAGGTCTGAACCGATATTCTGGCTCCTTTCAAGCAGAAGCTGGTTAGGATCCAACTACAAACTGAACTGTTTAACAACCAAGTAAACCAGACCCAGGCCGAGGGGCTCACTCTCGCTCGGAGGCTGCTCCTACGCTCTTGGAAGGGAGACGAGAGGGAGAAAACGCCCCAAAGGCGGCGCACAGACAGAAACCGCCACTTTGCAAAAACCTGGTAACAGTTCCAAGATTAACTGGCCCAAATTAAAATGACCTGTAATTATTCAGCAGTCAGTAACTAGCAAGAAATTGTATAGGGCTAATAAAGAAACATTATTATTATTATTATGCGTCCAGCCCCCTGAGCGTTCAACATATTCCACTGCATGTATGACCTCAGCACTTGTATTGTACTGTGTGCTTTATCTTGGGGGAAGACTTCAGCCAAAACGAAAAACAAAAGCAGGAGACTCACCAGGCGCTGCTCTGGCCCGGCCTGCGGGGGGCGCTGCCTGCGCTCTGCTGGCCGCGCGGGTCTGCGGACCCCTGCTGGAGACGGCTGCCTGCTCTGCTGGCCGACACGGGAGAGAACGAGGGAGGATGAAGGGAAAGAGGAAGACAGAACTAACCTGTCGGGTGCCGCGGTCTGCGTTTTGAAGACCCCAGCGTCTCCTACCTCACCCTCACTGGTGCAGCCACGCCCCCCTCCCCCCTCCCGGGGGACCCCCAAACCCCTCAGCTGCAGTAGTTCGAGCAGACTAGACAGCCCCCTCCCCATTGCCCCAGAACCTCACCTTTTCGGGGCGCTGTGGCTGAGGTGGAGGGGTCCCCCCGTGTCTGAGG